ATTCTGACCTTTCAATTTTAAACAAATGCTCTTGAGAAAGGTGTAATGTCATCTTTCCTTGCTACTTCAGCTATGAGTTAAATAGCAAAGTAAATTGAGTTCTCTAGCCTAGATTGGCAACTAGTATAGGAGAAAGATAACAATTCAAAACTAGCTCTGTTTGGATTAGCAACTCCACCATATAAAATCTATTTGCTGCTGAAACATCAGCAGTATCTCTTAATATGGTGAGGGTGTGATTCAATGGGAGATTACAGGTTCAACAAACTCACTTTAAAATTTTGAGCCCTGATTACATGAATTTAAGTGAGCTACTAGATTAGCAACTCATTCCAACTGCTTTACTGTTGAACTAGCTAGATGCGTCTTATTTCTATCCTAACAGTTTTTTTTTCTCACACTTCCCACCTGTAGAACTCATTTCAAATTTCTTGCTTCCCTGATAACTACAATCTTCAAAAATTTAAATGCAATGTCAATCGCCATCTTTTGTCTTCTCGAAGTCTGTTCCTGTTTTTGTTCTTTCCTCAATCCTTCCCATTTTCAATCTTCACATTCACTCCCTGTAACCCCCTGCATTCTAGTGCCACTGTCATCTTGCTTGGGGTGGAATGATTAAGAATATATATAAAAAAAAAAAAAAAATTTTAAATACAAGAATATATTACTTGACACAATGATTTAGCCATATAGCTATTTCTAGGTGCCAGAATGGTACATTTCTTGTCTGACAAAATACATTTTCTATTTTATTTATTCCTCTGTGTTTGAGAAATTCCAAGTTTTATTGGCTATAAGGATATTATTTTTTCTTTTTAATTTGCAATTAATTTATGCCTTCAGTCAGTTAAGTGCCGTATGTGATATTCATTCAGGCAATCAGTCACTTTCAGTTTATGACTATAAAAAAAAAATTTTCCCACAGTAGGTTGTTCTTTCTTTCTGCAGTAGACCGGTTGCCACTCAAGGCTATAGAACTCAGTTTGTCCTGCTATTCAACCCATAGCTGGGGAAAAAAAAAAAAAAAAAGATGGAATCATATTTTTCCCCCAAGGTATTCATGCATAAGTGAATGTAATGTATCCAACTGGCATTTGAACACAGCTCCCCAATTTTTCATTCCAATATCCATTACACCACAACAAACTCTCAAATTATGCATAACTTGGTTGAACCTGTTTATTGAATGGGTTGTTTTTCTATAAATTTGTTTACTATCTCTGGATCTTATCATTTTTATTCTGATTTTTGTTTTAGGCTCTTTTTGCCATTAAAAATACATGTAATTTATTTTGAGCATGAAAAAACAACTTAGCATTGGTAATATTTCTATGTATTTCATAAGGATGCTGATGGTGGTACTGTTCTTTTTAAAGTTTAATTGTAAAAATCTATGTTCAATTTTTTCTTCAACTTGACCTCATATTTACTAAACAGAAATGCGTCTAAAAATAACAAAAAGATCTGAGAAGGATGCATAAAAATATTTTTTAGAGCTTTAAATACGAGGCTACAAAAAAAAAAATTTCCTTAAGTATGAAATGAAGAGAAGACTGGAAGCAACAGAAATGTGGTTTTACAGAAGGATGCTGAGATTGCTTACTCTCTCCATCCATGGCAATGTAGAAGTCTTAAGGAAAATGCAAACAAAAAGGGACACTTACACCCAGAACCAGAAAAAGCTGAAATTTCTTGGACACATAATGAAGAATTTGGCACTGACATGACCTATTAACAGGGGAAAGCAAAAGGCCACCTACCTGACCAGCTTGTGTGAATGGATGGTGAAATGAGGGGTAAGAGGAATGGTGAAATGAGGGGTAAGAGGAATGGTGAAATGAGGGGTAAGAAGAATGGTGAAATGAGGGGTAAGAAGAATGGTGAAATAAGGGGTAAGAGGAATGGTAAAAAGATAAACATGTTAGTAGCTTATTTTAAAGTTTAATTTTAAAATTATTTTAAAGTTGAAGATGAATTATTTACATTGTTCGGACTGTTGTCCTCATCTTTATTGTTATGTTACAACATTTTTGCCATTGTATGCTCTGGTTTCATTCAGGTGATTGGAATTTCAAACTGAACTCTTTATTTCTTCCCCTGGGATAGATTGTTCTAGTTCAAAATTCCAATCACCTGAAGAAGGCCAGAGCATACAATGATCAAAACATTGTGAACATGACAATGAAGATGAGGACAACAGTCCGAATAATGTAAATAATTACAATACTTCATCTCAGAAATAGAGACAGATCTTGAAGACTAATATTTGAAAAAGAGATTGCTCAAATTTTTTATAAAAAAAAAAAAAAAAAAAAAAGTAACTGTTAAAATAGGCTCACAATTTAATATATATTGACTGCTTTCTATGAATTGAGAATAAATTTCAGTACTTAATTTAATTAAAATACCTAAAAAGGTTGATTCATTGATTTGTTTGTTTCTATAGCTTATCAACTCTTAGCAAATTATTAAAATCCATAAAATATTTTTCCATTGTAAGAATTTTTTTTTATGGGGGAGAGATAATAATGGTTTAGTAATACAAGTGCTACTAATTAACCCATAGCTGGGGAGAGAAGGTGGATTCATACATAAGTGAATATAACAAAATCAACTGAAATTGAAATTCCGCTATCCAATTGAAAATTTCAAGCCATTATACATTACACCACCCACACATCCAAGCTTACAGCACATCATATTAATAAGCAGTCATCTATCTACATACTGACCATGTTTGATGTTGCTTAACTCTTTGATTGTATGAGAACTGGTGTTTCAACATGATAGTGCCATAAGTCCTGAAAAGCCACCATTCCTACATACCAATTCAATAACTCCGAGTTTCATGTGGCTATTATAACTCCCATTTCTTTACACAGGAAGACCATCTTTTTCATGTTCAACTGTGCTGCCTTGTGCACACACACCATACTTTGCAAGATAGCCTCACTACCCCATAACTTCTTACATGTGTGACACATGAAAGGCTTTCAGAGAGTTTTGACAGTGACTTTACCCTCATGCACTCCCATGTGCCACTTCAGCCTGACAGCAGACATAAATTTTGTCATGAAACTGACGTAATTACATTGCAGGCCTGTCATGAAGGACATTCATATAGTTGGCATTAGACTGCAGATTTTTATGCAATCCTAAATGATGAGCACTTCCTTCCTTTTAGTTTCCTTGTCCTTTTTATTGACATTAGAATGAACTATGCTAGAAATTCTTTTTAATGGACTCATCATCATAACTCCTAATATGGTAACAAGAGAAAATACCAGGCTGGAGTCTGGTGTAGTATACCTCATGTAATAGGCAGGTAGTTTGCCAACCAATACCATTTAAAGATGATATTTTTGGTAAAAAACAGGCATCCCCCACTCCACTGCCTTAGAAACTTGAGGGTATACAATATCTGTAAGAACCAAAAAATGCCACTTCATTTTTTAATTTTTCTTTCCTTCCATACTTAAAAATTATATACTTTAGCCTTTGTTAGTCAATAGGTTTGCCTATCACCTGGTTCGCAATCCTTTCACATTTTTAAACAGGAATAGAGGTATCTGTCTATATCTCTGAGATGAAGTATTATGATTACTTACATTATTTGGACTGTTAACCTCATCTTCAAGGACACATGGGTCAGTGGATACATATATTGGTTAGATCCAATGACTAGACCCAAAGAGTTATGAGTTCAATACCAGGCCACAGCAGTGGTAAACCAAACTTGGAGAATTGAGTTAAAGGGAAATAACTGAGACATCAAGAAGAGGCATGGGACTTGGACCAGGTGGATGAAATAAAGGGTTTGGTTTGAAATTCCAATCACCTGAAGAAGGCCAGAGTGTACAATGGCCGAAACATTGTGAATATGACAATGAAGATGAGGATAACAATCCAAATAATATAAGTAATGTAAGTAAGGAATAGAGGTTTATCACTTATTTCCTGTTTAGGATTAGGTTTCCAGTTCCTTCTAAAGTTTTTTTCTCCTTTTCTTTCACCTCCAATAACCCTTTGTGTCTTAGTGGCATTATTCTCTTGCTTGGGGTGAAATGGGAAAAAAAACAAAAAACAACCTAATAATACCCCAGCTACAGGTTAAATAGCAAGGGGGGCTAGGCTCCTTAACCTTGGTTGGCAACTAGCTCAAGAAAATACCAGCTCTGAATTCAAAACCATGTAGGCAATGGGTAAGTACCCTACTATTTTTCCCAAGAAATCACAGATACAAAAAGAAAAGTAATTGATGGAGAGCCATGACCAGCTACATCCTAAATAGATATGTCACTAGAAAAATAATATTATAAAAAGAACAAATTTTATAATTAAAAAAAAAAAAATTAAATGTTTGTGCTTAAACGATTATTTTAGGTTCTGGAAATCCCATTCCCTTAAATACAAGGTATAGCTTATAGTGTCAAGAGACCGAGTTGCAAATATCAACTCGAAATAAACAGAATTGCAACATAATTACAGTATTTCTATTATATAATTAGTTTATCCAGACTATAACATGACAACAATTATGAAAATAACATTTAGGGAAATATTTAATAACTCAACTGCATTGGTTTATATTTTCTGCACAATACAGGATAACTATCAATTAAATTAACTCTAGATCAATGAAGGTAAAAAAAAAAAAAAACATCCAAATACATCTTACTGATGAGATATCCCATTGTTATGGTAACCAGAGGCATGTTAGATTACTGGCCTTGAGTCATGCTTCCAGTTATTAAACATAATATCTCATTAGTAATTAAGGTAGATATAAAGTCACTTTGTGTTTTGCATTACAGAATTATTATTATGACTTTGATTTAATAATTTGATCCACCAGTAATGAAAAAGTACTTGTTAAAAACCTAGTGTGTATATGTATATATTTATAAAAAAATATAAATAATTGCTTTTTTTTGTTTGTTTTGCTGCAATCAAACTAGCTTTCATGTGGAATTTGATTATCAAAGTTTCTTTTGTAAATCTTAAAGAGAGGAAGGAAAAATATACAAGTAATGAGAGAGGAAGAGAAAGAGGAGAAAATAAAAGAGAGGAAAAAGAGAGAAAAAAGGAGGTGAAAAGAGAAAAAAGGATAAGGAAAAATGAAAAGGTGAAAGGAAGAGGAAGTAAAAAAAAAAGTAAAAAAAAAAAAAAAAAAAAAAAAAAAAAAAAAAAAAAAGAAAAAAAAAGGAGAAAAAAAGGAAAAAAAAAAAAGGAGAAAAAAAGAGAGAAAAAAAGGAGAAAAAAAAAGGAGAAAAAAAAAAAAAAAAAAAGGAAAAAAAAAGGAAAAAAAAAGGAGAAAAAAAAGGAGAAAAAAAACAAGAGAAAAAAAGGACAAAAAAAAAGGAGAAAAAAAAAGGAGAAAAAAAAGGAGAAAAAAAAGGAGAAAAAAAAGGAGAAAAAAAAGCAGGAAAATAGAAGGAGAGAGAAAAAAAAAGCAGGAAAAATAAGAAGGAGAAAAAAAAAAAAAAAAAAAAAAAACGACCCAAAATGGTGTAGACTAAATATTCAGAGAAAAAAATAAAGAAAAAAAATTAAAATAAATCAAATGGAACTGAAGAAGATTGTAGCTATATTTCTCCAAAACTCCAGATTCAGGATAAATGACAGTAAAAAAAAAAAAAAAAAAAAAAAAAAAAAAAAAAATGCCCTAAGTTTAGAAAAAGTCATAACTTTAGCTTCCTGATAGAAGAAAAAGTCAGACCCCCCCCCAAAAAAAAAACTATTTTATTCATTTAATTTATACCAATAAATATCAGAGCTTATTTTTTTCTTACTATAAATGAAACATTCTCAGTACTTATTTTTTTCAATTACTATTCATTTTATTACTATAAATTAAATAAATGTAAATATTACGTTTCATTTTCTACACTTTTTCCCCAAGCTAGAAGCCAGTTATGACTTATTTCCCATGATCCCCCCCCACATACACACACACTCATATGACAGGATAAACATGGCTACAAACACTGACTGAATGACAATTTGAATAAAGGTAACAGAGATTTGGGTTGAGGTGAAAGTAGATAGGATAAAAAAAATTATATACCTTTTCTCTTTCTAAGGCAGCTTTTTCAACAATCTCTTCATGTTTTAGCTTTAGCTGGTTGATAATTTCCTGCTCTCGGTGAAGTTCGCTCATTTCGGTCTGATGTTCACCATCCAATAAAGCTTGTTCCATTTCCAGCTAGTAGAAGAAAACAATTATAATCAATAGAGGCAGGTGAGAAAGAGAAAAAATATCACTTCAGAGACAGGCTCCATATAATTTACCTTAATATTCCATTTATTTTTTTTATAAAAAATGTGCTTTATGTTGACATGTAAAGAAATACCAATTTAAACTGCAATATTTATCCACTACAAATGAAGACAAGTATTGCAAACAAAAACAGGAAAAAATTAGGTGTATTGCAAAATATGCAGATTTTTTTTTATCTCAAGTCAATATATATGACAATAAAATTTTAAAAGAATTATAAGACGTTTAACTCAAAACATTAAATACTTTAAATAAATACATAGATAAATAATAAATACATAGATAAATAATAAATACATAGATAAATAATAAAATACATAGAAAGAAATAACAATTACATTAAAAAATAATTCAACTTGTATTCACTTTTGTTTATTAGGAAATAAATTGCATCATCTAGAATACTCTATAGTTTACCTTTCCTTACACAGCAAGCTTTAAGAATATTTTAGAATGTTCTCAAAGTTAAAATTGGTAAACTTAATGTTTTTCCTCTACATTCCTTCTCTAGATAAAAACCTACACCCTGATGAAGTTCTTCAAGGATTGAAACTTGTAAAGAAAAGATTTTCTTTTGGCTTTTCTTTTACTTATATTGTCTTTACACACACACACTATATAAGTTGACATTGAAGTCAACAACCAGAAATGACATACTGTTTCATGCTTAAATGCCAACATCAAGCCATGCTTTCATGAAACAGTCACATCTGGATGTTGACTTCAATGTCCAGTTTTATAATTACATACACCTTATCACTGATATTGAGCACTTTAACCTATAAATATAACATACCTTAAACTATTTTATCATATATATTTTTTTAATCATTTCACTTCATGCAAGGCAGTAGAACTACAAAGACGAAAGGGGTTACCGAGTGCGAAAGAATAAGAAAAAAGGAGAAACATTATGAAGAGCAGCAACAAAAGAAGAGTAATCAAGATGACAGTAGATAACAATTGACATTGCATTTTTGACGACCAAACTTGGCTGGAAAGTATGGAGCCAGAGATGAAAACAATACAGTTTTAATATATGTGTTCAGAAGTTTATAACTTAAACTGTTCAACTGTTAATTCTATAGAAAAATATGCACTGGAAAAATAATATCCAAGTTTGAGAGGAGGTGCTGAAAAGTTTTCAGATTAATCAAAAAGGAAATCCAAGTTCTGATGCTGGGTCATTTGGTCAAATTTTTGGAAGTAGGATAGGCCATGAACAACAAGAGGTCACGAGGGGTTCCATAAGAAACAGTGGTAAACAAGCCAAAGCATTTTTGAGAAATTGTTTTTGATTTAAATCTTACGGTCAATAGCACTGTTTCTCAATCGATGTTCCTCAGAACTCTAGGGTTCTACAAGAGGTCACTAGGGGTTCCATAAGAAACAATGGTAAATAGGCCAAAGCATTTTATATTTAAATCTTATGATCTATAGCAGTGTTTCTCAACCAGTGTTTTCCCAAATTAATGGATAACTGAGTGTTTTGTGAGAAAGTGATAAATAGGCTAATGCATTTTGGGGGAATTTTTGTTTAATTTTATATTCATAAAATTACTATACTTGTATATTATGTTTACTAAGTGACCTAGGGTAAAAATATAAAAGATAAATATTAATAATGGCATATAATAATTTTTATGCAGGGGTTCACTGAGACATAGAAAACTATTTCAAAAGTTCCACAAAATTTGATAGAAGCTGGTCTATAGAACAACAAATTGTAGATTCAGTGTAAAAATTACCAAGCTTAAAAAAATGTGACATAGTGATTGTGAGTTCAATCTCTGGATCAGACAGTGTGTACTTGGACTCAGTGGAAATGGATGAGCAATAACTGAGCAGTACTAAATAAAAATAAGAACTAGATGACACCTCTAGATATGAGCAGTGGAATGAGAACAGTCTACCATGTAGATTAAATAAAGGGTTCAGTTAAGAATTCCCTGTTGGTTATCCAGATTGGTATACACCTGAGGAAGGCTGGAGGGTACAACGGCTGAAACGTTGTGATAAAAAACAACAAAGATGAGGACAATAGTCAAAATAAAAATAGTGTAAATAATGATAACTTCTCATTCTAGAAATTTAGACAGAAAAAATAAAACCTTTTCCTGATTATACAAACAATCATATATTCCTGATAATTTGAGATAGGAGCAGGAATATTGTAGCATTGCATTGACCAATCAATAGAATCGTTGCTTCTGCCCAGGTGGTGCTGCAATCAACATAATGAAAATGAGGTCTGTCATGTTAGAATTGAGGGAAAGACTTTATTTCTCTGTAGAGAGCAACATAGCTGTTGTGCCTATTAAACTGACTGCATTGTCCTCGCAAAAATCTCTGGCAAATTTATAGAATTCACAGTTGCACTGATTTCAAAAATGAATACAGCATGCCATGAGATAAAAACAAGTCAAATTCAATTAAATTGGGAAATTAATATTTGAGTAAAACGGGGAAAAGAAAGAAAAAAAAGAAAGAAAAAAAAGAAAAAGGGAAAAGAAAAGAGAAAAAGAAGGGGAAAAGAAAGAAAAGAGAAAAAGAAAAGAAAAGAAAGAAAAGAAAAAGAGGGAAAAGAAAGAAAAGAGAAAAGAAGGGAAAAGAAAGAAAAGAGAAAAGAAGGGAAAAGAAAGAAAAGAGAAAAGAAGGGAAAAGAAAGAAAAGAGAAAAGAAGGGGAAAAGAAAGAAAAGAGAAAAAGAAGGGGAAAAGAAAGAAAAGAGAAAAAGAAGGGGAAAAGAAAGAAAAGAGAAAAAGAAGGGGAAAAGAAAGAAAAGAGAAAAAGAAGGGGAAAAGAAAGAAAAGAGAAAAAGAAGGGGAAAAGAAAGAAAAGAGAAAAAGAAGGGGAAAAGAAAGAAAAGAGAAAAGAAGGGGAAAAGAAAGAAAAGAGAAAAGAAGGGGAAAAGAAAGAAAAGAGAAAAGAAGGGGAAAGAAAGAAAAGAGAAAAGAAGGGGAAAAGAAAGAAAGAGAAAAAGAAGGGGAAAAGAAAGAAAAGAGAAAAGGGGGGGAAAAGAAAGAAAGAGAAAAAAGGGGGGAGAAAGAAAGAAAAGAGAAAAGGGGGGGAAAGAAAGAAAAGAGAAAAAGGGGGGAGAAAGAAAGAAAAGAGAAAAAAGGGGGAGAAAGAAAGAAAAGAAAAAGGGGGGGAGAAAGAAAGAAAAGAGAAAAAGGGGGGAGAAAGAAAGAAAAGAGAAAAAGGGGAGAAAGAAAGAAAAGAGAAAAAGGGGGGAGAAAGAAAGAAAAGAGGAAAAGGGGGGGAGAAAGAAAGAAAAGAGGAAAAGGGGGGGAGAAAGAAAAAAAGAGGAAAAGGGGGGGAGAAAGAAAGAAAAGAGGAAAAGGGGGGGAAAAAGAAAGAAAAGAGGAAAGGGGGGAGAAAAGAAAGAAAAGAGGAAAAGGGGGAGAAAGAAAGAAAAGAGGAAAAGGGGGGGGGAAAGAAAGAAAAGAGAAAAAGGGGGAGAAAGAAAGAAAAGAGGAAAAGGGGGGGGAGAAAGAAAGAAAAGAGGAAAAAGGGGGGAGAAAGAAAGAAAAGAGGAAAAGGGGGGGAAAAAGAAAGAAAAGAGGAAAAGGGGGGGAAAAGAAAGAAAGAGGAAAAGGGGGGGAGAAAGAAAGAAAAGAGGAAAAGGGGGGAGAAAGAAAGAAAAGAGGAAAAGGGGGGGAGAAAGAAAGAAAAGAGGAAAAAGGGGGGAGAAAGAAAGAAAAGAGGAAAAGGGGGGAGAAAGAAAGAAAGAGGAAAAGGGGGAGAAAGAAAGAAAAAGAGGAAAAGGGGGGGGGAGAAAGAAAGAAAAGAGGAAAAGGGGGGGGAGAAAGAAAGAAAAGAGGAAAAGGGGGGGGAGAAAGAAAGAAAAGAGGAAAAGGGGGGGAGAAAGAAAGAAAAGAAAAAGGGGGGGAGAAAGAAAGAAAAGAGAAAAAAGGGGGGAGAAAGAAAGAAAAGAGAAAAAGGGGAGAAAGAAAGAAAAGAGAAAAAGGGGGAGAAAGAAAGAAAAGAGAAAAAGGGGGAGAAAGAAAGAAAAGAGAAAAAGGGGGAGAAAGAAAGAAAAGAGAAAAAGGGGAGAAAGAAAGAAAAGAGAAAAAAGGGGAGAAAGAAAGAAAAGAGAAAAAGGGGAGAAAGAAAGAAAAGAGAAAAAGGGGAGGAAAAGAAAAGAAAAGAGAAAAAGGGGGAGAAAGAAAGAAAAAGAGAAAAGGGGAGAAAAAAAGAAAAGAGAAAAAAAAAGGGAGAAAGAAAGAAAAGAGAAAAAGGGGAGAAAGAAAGAAAAGAGAAAAAGGGGGAGAAAGAAAGAAAAGAGAAAAAGGGGAGAAAGAAAGAAAAGAGAAAAAAGGGAGAAAGAAAGAAAAGAGAAAAAGGGGAGAAAGAAAAAAGGGGAGAAAAAAAGAGAAAAGGGGAGAAAGAAAAGAGAAAAGGGGGAAAGAAAAGAGAAAAAGGGGAGAAAGAAAAGAGAAAAAGAGAAAGAAAAGAGAAAAGGGGAGAAAAGAAAAGAAAAAAGGGGGAGAAAGAAAAGAGAAAAAGGGGGAGAAAGAAAAGAGAAAAAGGGGGAGAAAGAAAAGAGAAAAAGGGGGAGAAAGAAAAGAGAAAAAGGGGGAGAAAGAAAAGAGAAAAAGGGGGAGAAAGAAAGAAAAGAGAAAAAGGGGGAAGAAAAAAGAAGAAAAAAGGGTGGAAGAAAAAGAAGAGAGAATGAAAAAGGGAGAGAAAGAAATAAGAAAAAGGAGAAAAAGAAAAAGCGGAACAAAAGAAAAAAGGGGAAAGAAGAAAGAGGGAGAGAAAGAAAAAGGGGAACAAGAAAAAGGGGAACGAAAAAACGAAAATGGGGGAAAAAAGAAAGAAAGAAAAAAGAGAGAGAGAAAAAAAGGGAGAAAAAGAAAAAAAAGGGGGAACGAAAAGAATGAAAAAAGGGGGAAAGAAAGAAAAAGGGGAACAAAAAAGGGGGAAAGAAAATAAAAAGAAAATGGGGGAACGATAGAAAGAAAAAGGGTAAAGAAAGAAAGAAAAAAGAAAAAGGGAGAGAAAGAAGAACAAGTGGAAAGAAGAAGAAAAAAGAAAAAGAAAAAGGGAGAGAAAGAAAGAAAAAGAGGGAAGAAAGAAAAAGAGGGAAGAAAAAGGTAAAATAAAGAAAAGGGGAGAGAAAGAAAAAAAGAAAAAGCGGGGAGAAAGAAAAAGCGGGGAGAAAGAAAAAAAGAAAAGGCGGGGAGAAAGAAAAAAAGAAAAGGCGGGGAGAAAGAAAAAAAGGGGGGGAAGAAAGAAAAAAGAAAAAGAGAAAAGAAAGAAAGAAAAGAAAAAAAAAGAAAGGAAAAGGGGGAAAAAGAAAAAAGGGAAAAAAAGAAAAACGAGGGAAAGAAAGAAAAACGAGGGAAAGAAAGAAAAACGAGGGAAAGAAAGAAAAACGAGGGAAAGAAAGAAAAACGAGGGAAAGAAAGAAAAACGAGGGAAAGAAAGAAAAACGAGGGAAAGAAAGAAAAACGAGGGAAAGAAAGAAAAACGAGGGAAAGAAAGAAAAAAGAAAAAGGGAGGGAAAGAAAGAAAAAAGGTGAAGAAAGAAAAAAGGGGGAAGAAACAAAAAGGGGGAAGAAAGAAAAAAGAAAAAGGGGGGGAAGAAAGAAAAAAGAACAAAGCAAAAGGGAGAGAAAGAAAAAAAGAAAAATTATTTGTCTCTCCTCCACTTTCTAAATGCAAGATCAGTATTAATGCTGAAAAATCACAGATTTAGTCAGAATTTCTGGGATGAGAAGATATCATTATTTACATTTGGACTAATGTCTTCAGTTTCAATATTGTTATCACAATATTTCAGCTGTTGTGCCATCCAACCTTCTTCAGGTGCTTCTTGGTTTGGGTAAACTTCAAAATGAATTTCAAAATGAACCCTTTACATAATCTACTGGGATAGACTGTTCATCTGTTGTCTATATGTAGGGATATTTCACCTGGCTTCTTTCACTATTGCTTAGTTATTGCTTTTAACTGAGGTTAAGTCTGTACCACTCATTGAAGTGGAGCAATGCGTTGGTTCCTGAATTTGGTGATACAGAAACTCTGAGTTCAATCCCTGGCACAAATATAAATAAGAGATTCAGTTTGCACAACAAAATATAGATCATTTGATTCCAGATAAAAAAAAATTTTGAGAAATAATTTGAAAAAATAAAATAAATTTGGATAACTTTAATGACATCAGCTCCCAACCAGAGTGGTTATTTGAACACTGTTCCACCCCCATTTTGTCAGTTAAATATCCTTTCCTCTGAAGCAAGCTCAGAGGAAAGATGTTTTATTGTAAACTACCAAAACTTAAGAGAAGTTAAGGAAACTATGAAAGATCTGTCTATATTTCTGAGATGAGGTATTGTCACTATTTACAAGATTTATATTGTTTGGACTGTTGTCTTCATCTTTATCATCATATTCACAATGTTTTGGCCATTGTACACTCTGGTCTTCTTCAGGTGATATACATCGTAATTTCGAACTGAACACTTTATTCAGTCCACTGGGGGTAGATTGTTCTCATTCCACGTGTTATGCCTTTTCTAGATATTTCAGTTAGTTTCAGTTATTTCCCTTTAGTAACTAAACTTTCCAAATTTTGTTCACCTCTGCTACGGCTAGATATTGAACTCACAACTCTTTGGGTCAAGTCATTGGATTACTTCAACCAATACTTTTAAGCTCTCGGTTATGTGCCATTAGGGAAACTGAGATATCCAGAAAAGGCATGGCACATGAAATAAGTACAATCTACCCCCATGGACTAAAAGGGTTTGGTTCGAAATTTCAATGTCTTATCTGAAGAAGGCTGGAGCATACAATGGCAGAAAAAAATCATGAATATGAAAATAAAGATGAGGACAATAGTCCGAACAATGTAAATAGTGTAAATACTATGACAGATATAGGAATTCATTTTTTTTATTAATAAAATTCGACAACATATTATTTACATATATGAAAGCATTAACTTTTCACAAAATCTGACTGGCCAGAATTTTTCTTTTTAGGAATACCTTTAAGAAGAACATTAAGTTTTATTCTTTAAAAATGCTGTTTTTTGGATCTAGTGAACAGCTGTCAATAGACCCTTATAATTAGAGAAAAAATGATGGCTTGGAACACATTGTAAAAATGAGTTTTAATATATACTGATTAGAAACATTATTCCAAGTAGTTGAAGGAGGAGGTTTATAAAGTTATCCTTAAATTATATTAATATTAGACAATCACAATCTATAAGAAAAGAAAAAAAAAGAAAAGAAAAAAGATCTCTTTTATACTGACCTCTCTGATGGCCTCATTTTCTTGTGTTTCAATATCCATAATTTGTTTCTTTAAATCTGCAATTCTTAGCAATAAATCCCCTTTGGATCTTTTTAATTTCCCAAGTTGCCGCCATAATTCCGATTCCTGCACAGAAAAACATAAATGGAAATACAATCAAAAGAATAATTTCATTTCCAGTTTTATATTTTCTTTAGATTATTAAGCTGTTAAGTTCAACATCCATGAAATCAACTGTTACAGCGTCATTAAACTTTTAAATGAAGGACAGATTACTGTATATAGATTCCGAATAGAGGTCTACACTTCTCTGGAAGAAGGGTTTGAAACAAAATAACTAATTTAAGAGAAGTACTCATTAATACGAATGTATGAGAAGTCAGCAACTTGGAGAATTGTATCATAAATAGAATACAAATTCCAGAATGTTTGTTGATGTCATTTTCATGGAATTATTCTTAGAAAAAGCATTTAATTCCAATCCTATTTATAATATATACAATTATCTATACAATTTTATCACTGAAACGCAAAGAGTGACTGGTTGATTTAAAGTAAACAATCTCCTCTTCCTAAAGGTTTACACCCATGTCATGTTGAAACACTAGTTCCCATATTATCACTGAAGTTAAGCAATGTCAAGCTTGGTTTGGTTTACGGCATGTCTTCCTCAATGGGTTATTTAATACTGACAAAATCTTTTATTGCTGGTAATTTTTTTTCCAAAATGTATAGATGATAATATTTTTCTTTTTCCAAAATGTACTGCTGGTGATAATGTATTGCTGGTAATAATTTTTTCCTCAAAAAATATATTGCTGGTATTAAAACCTATTTTTATACTTTCATAGTGTTTTGACCCGTTTTGGGGTTAACTATTTGCCCATAGCTGGGACCCTAATAGGTGCTACCACCCTGTGGACCTGGGAACACCAGCAATTAAGAGGTGGTTCCATGCTCCTCAAAACCTCCTGATCAAAGGCCTTGCTGTTGGAGTTGAGACTGGTCAGTAACAAGATGGGTGATCACTTGAGAATATGAGGTACTAAATGCTTGGATGTGTAATGGATAATGGCTCAGAATTGTTAATTGGAGAGCAGAGTTTCAATTCCAGTTGGATTCATTATATTCACTTATATAAAAATACCCTTGGGAAAGTTATGAAACCACCTCTTCTCCCTCCAGGTATGGTTTAATTAATAAGAATTGCATTACTAAACCATTATCAAAAAAAAAAAATAAATAAATAAATTCTTACAATCTAAAAATGTATTCTGACTTTAAATATCCTTTAAAGAGTTGATAAGCCATAGAAAATGAATGAAACAAATGATTATAATCTTCCTATATATATATTTTTTTTTAATGCTATGTCCCTTCCAGAAGGGGATCATGAGTCTCCACAGATTATTTTTGTTTTTTGTAATTTAATTGTTTATTATTGCTAGCTATGCTCTTCTACCATTCAGATGACTATTATAGAAATTGTTAATGCTAATACTATCAAGGACACATGGCACAGTGGATAAAGGTGATGGTTAGATCCAGTGACAGGACCCAAAGAGTGTGAGTTCAATACCTGGTTAAGGCAATGGAGAATTTTCAGAGGGAAATTAACAGGAGATAACTGATAACTGACATCCATTAAAAACATGGCACGTGGAACTAGAACAGTCTACCCCAGTGAGGGTACAACGGCCGAAACATTGTAATAAATATGGCGACAGAGATGAGGACAAGTCTGAATAATGTAAATAATGTACATAATACCTCATCTCAGAAATATAGACAGATACTAATACTACCAAGGATTGAACTTATTCTCCTTGGTTAACAAATATTGTTGAATTACACTGTCCTGATAATTGATCTAACTGATAATTAAAAATGAGCCCATCCTTTATTATAAAAGCTTCTAATAATTTATTCAGGGAGTGGGTGGGGGATATGAAAAATTAATTTGCCTCTGGAATTTATGCTGGGTTCTTTCAAAGTTTAAACAATTATTATTTGTGAATTGCTGTAACTTCTCTACAAGAATGTGAGACTTGAACACTCTTGGTTGTGCCAGGAAAAAGAATACAAGCATTAGAGCACAGATACTTGAGAAAGCTCCTCTGAATCTCCTATTGGGGGCATAAAAACCAACAATTATGTATTCGGGCAAAGCCAAAAGGCTTGTGGGCTGACAGCGATCTCTCCTCTCCTCTATTAATCATCCGAAGAGGTCATGGTTTACCCACAACTCACATCATAACAGCCTCTACAAGACCACCATGCAAGCAAGGACAGCAATACAAGAGCTGGTCATACAACATCTAAGAGTGGACAGACCTGACAATGCTGAAACTCCTGAAAGATCATCTGAGAGGAGGGTGTCTGTTTCTTCTATCCTTAGGTCCCCCCACCCATCAGACAATTGAAGCAGTTAAGGAACTGATGATGATGACTTCTTGGGAAAGATAGTGGAGTGGTTTCCTGTTGTTGCCTTCAATTTTGAATTCAGAGTAGTTTTCTAAACTTGCTGCCACTGAAGACTATAGAACCCAGCCTATACTATTTAACCCATAGCAGGAGGTAGGGGTAAAAATGAGTTCATACTTCTATCAAAGAAATAGTTCAAAGTAAATGTAGCAATTGGTTTGAAGTTTTGAACTTTGCCTATCAATTTTGCTTTCTATTCCAAAAGTTTTACTAATTGTACATCCCACTTATCCTCTGATTATTTGATGTCATACATTTAATATTGTACTATTACAGAGTAATGATAGAGGAAAGTCAGGTTTGTTCATGCAGCCAGGTAAATACTAGTCTAACAAGACTAATATTTACCTGGGTTCATTTTTCCCAACCTGTGTCTTCATTGGGCACAAACTTTTTTGTTATTGTCCCCTCCCAACTGTTTAATTTTGAATATTATACTGAATTCATCTTTCATTGCAAGATAACACTTAGGTATTAGTGCAAAAATAATTTTAATATTGTTTTTATTTCTATTATAAATGCCAAGGATTAAAAAAGAAAAAAAAGCAAAGTGCTATTTGATAGCTTATCTGAATGTTTTCAATGCGATGGTTGACTTTGGTGCTTACTGACTAAAGCTCTTACTCTAGGTTCCATGCTTCTTAGAAGTAATTGTAGATCTTGTTTTGTAATTTGCAGGTGATTTCTTTGTTTAGTAAAAAAAAAGAGGCCATGTAACATTGTTGAAAACCACATTCAGGCATATTGGAAGTTGGAAAAGCAAAGAAAAATTTAATAGCTCCACACAGCTTTTGATACCATACAGAAATTTCATTTGTAGCCAATATTGAATGATTTTCGAAAAAAAAAAGGTTAAATGTTCACTGCCCACCAAATGAAATAAAAACTCACAGTGACCCCTTTGAAAATAACAGAGCCCTGAAGGGAGTGCTAGCACCCACACTGAGAAACACTGAAACATATCAAGAATGAAGAGATATTTTAGGAGCTTTTTTTTTTTCTTTTTTAAATCAAATATTTATTATAAAAAAAAAAAAAGAAAAACTATCATGATAAAATTTACAGAAAAATATAAAATTATTATTTATATATATATATATATATATATATATATATATATATTATTTTTTTTTTCACATTGAATATATAAATGTATCACCCCACTTTCAGAAAAAAAAATGCTTAGAAGGCAAAGCTGACAAATTTAAACTTAATCTCTAGTCCAGAGCATTCTAAACCACTATGTCACAATGTAAAGTGCATATATAACAGAAAAGAAGTATAAACAGACAATTGATCTATCTCCTGACATGTGGATGGAATGATTCTGTCTATGAAACTCTAGAATTGGGTGTTGAAGGTAACATCAATCAGCTAAGTGACAAACTTTTTACTTATATTATATATGAAGAAAATTTTGAAAAAACAAACAAAATCCTTAAATGTTGTTTAAAATGAATGAAATGTCGACGTCTGACGTTTCGGTTTAATAAACCTTTTTCAAGACAATATTCATTAAAATACAATACAGTTTAATATTTTATGTCCATCAAATTCAACTGTATTGTATTTTAATGAATATTGTCTTGAAAAAGGTTTATTAAACCGAAACGTCAGACGTCGACATTTCATTCATTCTAAACAACATTTAAGGATTTTGTTTGTTTTTTCAAAATTTTCTTCATTCTGTCGGATTTATATCCATTTACACTTGCTTATATTATATTATATATATATATAACTTACTGCAAACATGGACAGTGTGAATTACATTTCACACCCTACACATGCAAAAGAATTAATAAAGAAAATGTGCTCTCCAGAAGGTGCTTGAACCTATTTCACCCCACCTTGCTGAGGAAACCACCATTTGATCCCGTATACTTTAGCCCAGTCATTCAAACAGAGCATCACTGACCAGCAAAATTCAATTACCCTTTTTAAAGAATAAACATCTTCTCATTCAGATCTCAAAAGCCCATATCTGCTTTATTTCATATCAGAGACAAAGCAATTTCTAATAGTTTTTTTTTTTTTTTTTTAAAGCCCAAATTATTTCTAATTACTTTATCTTAGTGGATGCCAATAGACACCCAGAAGGACACATTTTCTTTATTTAGATCGCTTGAATACATAGAACAGTAGATTATAATTTTGACTTGTCTAACAAAACTTGACTAATAAATTGCATAATATTTTGAAAAAATATGCCACCAGTGCCCCGAAAATTGGAAACCTCTGCTCCAGACTCTTGGAGATAAGCAAATCTTAAGTATAGTCTTCTTCTAAAATTGGATTAACAAAAAATTAAGTCTGTACTCCTGTTATAATCAAATTACTAATTCTTCCTAGATACATTTGTTGTTAATCATTCAAAGCAGAGAACGAAAAATGTTTATTACTTCAATTCATAATCTAACAAAGACACTTGTATAACTTGCTTACAAGACTGTCTTATGGTTTGTGCAGAAACACACAAAGAATTCATTGCCCTCAAGTCAGGTAAAATTCTTTTCAGTATTGTGTATTTAACGCTCTGCATTTCATTTTGTTTGCCTTAAGGTTTATTGTTTAAGATGGTAAATTGTTACTTTCAGTCTTTATTATTTCAAAAGCTTAGAATTGATTGTTTCATAAAGTAA